CACCTAGGACTATCCAGCATCCTTGGAACCAGTCCATCACAGCATACCATCAGTACGACAAGATGCTGAGCATTGAGCGACTGTTTTGTTGCCCCTTGCTTTGCTACCATTGCGAGTACTGATGGTTGCTTTTCCATTGTCTTCAACTTTTCGCTTGCAGCATCCAGACTCATTGCATCCCGTGCCTCTTTTTGGATTGCCTCGCTGAGGCCGGAACAATTTTGGGCATGCCGGAGAACTCTGGACTTTTGGATCTGGCCAACACGATTATAAGTGCAGCCATCACCTGAGCATCTCCAACAGCCTTTCCCTGTGATGCGATCACGGCAGAGGACTGTAAGTTTGACCAAGAGCTGATTCTTTTTTCGGCCTGGGCCTGTATTTTGTCTCTTTTCTATATCTTCCAATCTTGATAGGGGTAGTGATGTCGAGGTACTTTCACCATCTGTCTCATACCCATCAACGAGCTCAAATTCTGCATCGGTTTCAGGCTCGCTACGAGTACGCTTCTTTGACAAGAGCAAGAATTAGCTTATCTAGGCTGATAGGCTACATGGAACTACCTTTAGATTGGGTTTTTTTATGGTTAATACTGGTGGATTGCTGCTCTATGCAGAGTAGGACTATCTCAGCATCAAGTTCTTGGACATGCAATGAACTCACTTGACCCACAGCATGTTCTGCGGCTCTTATCAGGTCCTCCACCCATTTGTCCACAATAGCAGCCTCCTTTGGGTCTGTCTCCTTGGCCTTGATAAGGACATCAACTACGGCAGTGAGTGCATCTCCTCGTCCCTCTATCTTAACTAAGCCATCCTCTGAGGAACGGCTAGCATAGCCAAAGCAAACCTCTAGTTCACGATTTACTGCCCCTACTGGCCCATAATCTTCCACTGCTTCATTATCTGGTGCAAATGTACGAAAATCCAAACCAATCCACTCTGGAAGTGAATCAGGAAGACTTTGAAGTAAAGCACGAAGGTGTGAAAGGCGATCGTCAACCTCTGCCATTGAGAGAAAAGTTAGAGAAGAGAAAAGTGGCTGAGTAATGAGTTGCAGTATTCAGGTATGGCGTGATTGATCGGTCATTTCGGTGCCCACTTGCCCGATCACAAAACATCCTCAAAAGTCGAAAACATAATAAGATAAAGT